GCTGGCAAGTCGTGTGGCATATACCAGCGATGTGCCGCTAGGAGTCCGATGGGGGCTTTAAGCAGGAGCGCTCTATGTTCTCTTAGGTTATCTGCCACCCCTCCAGGACTCTGTTTTGGATCACCAACGAGCAGTCGAAGGAAAGGCTGCCGTGGGATGGCCGGGACGAAAGCGGACTTAAGGTCCATGTCTTGCTGCGCTTCTTCCCCTACCAGAATGTCAACTTGTTCCATGTGTACCCTCAGCGCCGAGTGCATATGCGCCCTTTGTTCCCACACTAAGCCAGTGGTTGCAATGACAACTTTGGCCTTGGGGATAGCCCCTGAGCAGTACTGCATGGCGATGTCATACCTCGTGCTAGCTGCATTGGCCATGTGTTCTTCTCGACTTACAGCCCTTACAAAGAGTTTTGCTTGTTCATTGTCCAAGGCTAGCGACCTGAGGAGCTTAGTGATGGCGCGACCGGCCGGGTTTTCTTTATGGACCACTCCAATTTTGAGGTTGGTCGTTAAGGCTAACCAAACCAAAAGGAATGTGAGGGATCTCGTTTTCCCCGCACCGAAGACACCTGCAACAGCCAGCGTGGATCTTCCCGTTTGTAGGGCCGCCGCCAAGGAAAATGCTACCGACATGATATGGGCACTGTCAGTGCGGGCAGCTCTGCACAGCTTCATGCCTAGCACAATGGCTGATGGACAATGCCTTGGGGCATCACCCGTAATCAGCAGCGCAAACAAAGAGAAAAGGCTCTGCTGAAGTGCCTCAGCACCATCAAAATGATAGGCAACTGGACGCGAATAGGGTATCCCCAGTGCAGTGGTTTTGTGTTCTAGCAGCATGGCTGCCATTTGCAAAAGGTGGTCCGCTGAGGCCGTGTTGCCTACTTCAGCTAGGTTGAGGATTTGCAGCGACGTGGTTTGGGGAGAAAACCTCCTCATACAAGAGGGGAGGCCCCACTTGGCGTCAATGTTCATGCCGAGCTCACCTTGTGTTGGTAGTGGAGCAAACGCGTCTGGGACAGGAATCACGGCTATGACCCATGCTTTCGGACTGCTATGCCGGGCCGTTGACTCTTCTAGGGTTTCTTCCCCTCCTTGTTTAGACTTCTTTTTAGGTTGTGCCGTGTACTCTAGCAGGACTCCTAATAGGGCGAACGCCTCTGCATTTTCTCGCACCACGATGCGATAGACTTTACCCACTTGGCAACCAACATGGACTTTGTCTGACGGCATGCTGAACAACTGGCGATACGGCTGTTCGGTGGGCTCTTGCGCACAGAAGATGGACGCCCCTGAGTGGGCTGGGAAGGCAATCCGATATTCGTCCATGTCTCGCAGTCCTTGGGCGACTGGAGTCACTTGAACTATCGTATCCTAGCGACGGACGACGGGACTGGTCCAAAGGTGCGTGGCCAGTTGGGCTCCTTCGGCATAGGGGAGCTGTGGCAAGAACAGGGCAAGGATCACGAAGACTTCCCGAAAGGGGATGGGCCGCAGTAGATCTCTAGCGACTGCAGTGAGCCACTTGGTACATTCACTTTCCTGAGCACCCCTTACTCTGAAGTTGCGCAGGAGGAGAGCTTGCGCCTCTTCCATCGACGTGATTCCTTGGTCCGGCACACACTGATTGAGCAGCAAACAAATTTACATTCTAACTGCAGGTATCGTTTGTATTCCATGTAGGTTCGTTGCATTTAGCAGTGACTTTTCAGGATGCACTTAGAATACGACTATTTGAAGAAATCTGAAGTACTTTATATTCTGAGTGCTGGCAACTTACTATATATATATATATATACATACTACATCTATGGGTTTTCTTATTCTTTCTTTCTCGTTCAAGGGCCTGTCAGATCTCTCAGACCTCGTTTTTGACACATCGAGTCTACTTCAGTTGTCTAAGATCATCCGTGGACCTTTCTTTTGCAGGTCAAAAATGGTGTTATGAGGCCTGATGGAAGCTGAATAAACAAGTGATGAGCCAAAACCCGCACCCACATGTGGTCGCTAGATCCTTTTGCGAAACACAAAAAAGAAAGAAACGATGCTGTCCCCTAGCGAGAGAGTTGTTTCTGATACGGTGTTTGGCGGTCAGATCTCTGACAGACAGTGTCACTGCCATGGGCGAGCCGCACCGACGAGGAAACTCCAAGGCCTTTGTTGGATGATAGATGCCTTGAGGTTTGAGGCCTTCGCCATGCTTGAAAACGGCATTTTCCCGGTCGAAAGCACTCAAGCTGAGCTCGCACTATATGTCAGGTACACTTGATGTGTCAGACAACAAACCATGCATAGCACAAACACCCCTCGCACAAAGACGATCGCTGGCGAAACCTTCAGTCCCAAAAGCGCGTTCGAAACCGAAACCTGATGCGGCATAGTTCAGGAGAGTTGGACTTGTTGGGGTCGGAACACCTGAGATCTGGCCATGTCGAGATGTCTGGGACGCGCACCAAGGCTGGGCGCACCATCTGGACGAAAGCTTGAATGAGCCCGAGACCATAAATAGCAGCTTATAACGCATGGAAAACCACATGTTCTTCCATTTTTCTAGAAGAAAAATCCATGGAAGACCCGCTTTGACCCACTTGGACGACCAACGCGAGTCATGACTGGACGTTCCGCGCCTCACCCGCCACACGTCTGGACGCAGCGTCCCCGCTGCGTCCAGGCACTGCGTCGGGTCTGGCCTTGAGCACTGCGAGTTTCGCTGGCTGGGGAGATCGGAGTTGTGGGTTCGAAGTGGGAGAAAACAGGGGGACCTAGTCGGGCTGGCCTCCAACCTAGTAGCGATGGCCTGCAGCCTTTTTTTTTGCGATGAAGACTAAATATGGTGAGTTGTGGACCGATCATGATATGTTTTTTGTTGATATTGAGGTTTTCAAGATCTCAAAGGTCTGGATGTAGTGTTGCTGAGCTTTGCAAAACCATGGTCAATGATGGTTCTTTAGATGTTTTTGTCGTGTGAAACAGAGGCGTGCGAATCGCAGCTTGCATGGCAAATGCGTGGCAGAAGAAACCACTCGGTACACTTTTGAGGTAGCAATCTGCTGCCTACTCCACTGTAAAGCACTGTCTCGTGGTTTTTCATAAAGGTTACCATTGGGACTCCACTCGGAGATGAGTCGAGTCAGTCAGGTCCATCCCTTCAGTCCTACAACGCGGCCTTCGTCGGTGGCGCGGGTGGCACGACCGCAGGCGGGGTTTGGGCGGGTTGGGTCGTGGGGTCCAAACCACGTTGGTGCTGAGTTCGGAGTGTTTTTTGGACGCCAATGGCACAAGCAGGTGGATAGTTTGGGGTGAGAAGGTGAGAAAGGGCATGATCCACTGCGAGTGTGGAGATGTTTGGTGATTGCAAGCACCCCATAGTTTGAACAATGGACAGAGTGCGCCTACTTCCGGCAGGGTGATGTCAGATGATGTCAGACTCACCCTGACTCACCCTCTTCTTTCCACACAACACCAAGTCAGTGGTGTTCAGTCTGATGATGAAGAAGACTTGCCACCATGCACTTGCCGATAGGGCCCATGGGTGGGCAGTTTTCCAACGTGTCGATGCCGATGATTCACATGTTTGATGGTTTGCATCGTCTGCATTCTGAGTGCTCTTGTAACATAGATCACTGGCTTCAAGCTGGATGGACGGGTGGATGGATGAAAGGGGGAGGACGTGTGTGGATCGGTCGTGAGTGGCTATCTAGGTGGGTGGATAGTAGGTGGCTGGATAAAAGCACTTGACGAAGATAGACAATCTATTCAAGTGGTGCCCTTTTTGCAGTTGTTGGAAGGGATGATAGCTAAAAAAAGGGCGCCTCTGAACTCTGTGCTGGTAAGAAAATCATAGACGCCCTTTTTGGGGTTGCTGGAAGGGCTGATAACTTAAAAGTAGGGCCTCTCTTGAGGTGTGAGAGAGAGAGAGAGAGAGATGATGTGGTTCGAACGTGTAGTCCTCCTGGTTGTTTTCACAAAACAAGTGGGTGCTGCGCGACGCGGACGTACTGACGTCCGTTCGACTGGAGCCTGGCCCGCACCTGGGAGGCCACTGGGGTGAGGTTTTCGGGCTCCGTTCGAACGAAAAAGCTCCGTTCGTAGCGAACAGGGCTCCGTTCATAGCAAGGCCAGGAGCCCCTTTTTTCGTAGCGTCCGATCGCTCCGTTCGAGTCGCGGTGCACGAAATGCTCCGTTCGTAGCGACCTCTACTCCCTCAAAACATGAATTAGAAAGGGATGGGCGTTTTTTTCGGGATTTTATTTTTTCATTATTTTTTTGGCCATTGCTTTTGCTGCTTTTGTGCTTCTGCTGCTTTTCTGCTTTTTGTGTTTTTGTCTTTCTGCTCTTTGCTTTTGTTGCTTTTCTGCTTTGGCAGCTGTTCTCCGTCTCTTTTTGTTTTTGCTTTTCCATCTGTTTGCTTTCCAACCTTTGTATCTGGTGTGCTGCTGGGGGGGCGCTGCGCCCCCCCCCCCCCCCCCCCGCGCCACGAAATCTGCACTTCATCTCCGACACCCGCGCCTGCCACGAAATCAATATTTTAAGGTGAACTCCCCGGGGCATAAACTTCTAACCAATCATATATATGCTTCCTGTGCTGGTTCTCTTTCTCTTTACTGTTTCTCTGCTAACGTAGGACTTTCTCTGACACCTACACTATTCCAATGTATTTTGCCAGCTACGACAGCTCCCAAATTAGTCTAATCAGCTAGCAATTAATATGAAACCTGCACTATTCCAATGTATTTGGCCAGCTACGACACCTGTGTCTCGGCTAAGGACACGAAATTGCTGTAATTAGCTAGGTACTAATGAGAAACCTTCTCTATTCCAATGTTTTTAAAAAGATCCCGAAAAAAATGAAAGAACTTACCAAATTAAACGTGCACCCATTAGAAAGAATCGTCTTCCGCTCGTGGCTCGCGGCGGCTCGGCAGCCAGGAAGCGGCCTCTGCTGCTGTCTTCATCGCGGCTGCCTTTCTAGGCGAGGGCTTTCAGCAGGCCAACTTGAGACTTGCCCATCCAGTTTTGTGAGCTGTTTTGCTGGATTCATTGATTCATTGCATCGTAAGCTCCCTCTCCCTGTTGCCATTCCAGCAGGCTCGATTTGTCGCGTTGAGTTTTAAGGATGTGAATGAAGTAGATGACATCTGCCCTGGTGACGGGATGCAGCGCATCTGTGCTTGCCAATGTCACTTTGCTCATTCACTGCCGACAAGAGAGCACAATTTGTGAAATGTGACATCCGATGCTCGACCTTTACTCCAAGTACTTTAAAGAAGTGATCTTTCTGTCGAAAGATGTTAGCAAATCACAGAGAGGTGCTGTCACATGTCCTGGCGCTGGTGATCCTCACTGGTGCATTGCATCCCAAATGAACAGCACAAAGGCTCTGGGAATCATGTATGTGCAGTTCGATGTGGTCATTTTGCCATGCGGGCTGGCAAGAATGCCGAAGACGGAAATGTTGGCAAGCTTCTCCGATTCGACCAAGACCTATGCCCCTTTCTGCTACTATGAAGCATGCAGGCTTTTTCCGAGATTGAACTGCGAATGGGGGCATTGGCAAGGGAAGACCACCCAGGACCAGGTTGTGAACATGGTCAATGACCTGGAATCTGTGCTAGTGGGCACGGGGGAGCAGACGACACGGCATGCTCATGTTTTTGAGAACCTGCGTCATGGCATGATGCACGGCAGCTCAGATCTAATCTATGTCTCACGTGAAGCTTTTGAAGTCTTCACTGTCTGTGCCCGTGTGTTCAAGAAGCATGAAATCGTGCACCCAACCATGCTAACATTGGTGCCTTTTCTCACTGGAATGAGCTTCCAAGATTTGGCATGCCATGGAAGCCGGATGAAGGAAGTCTACAAGGCTGAGTTGCAGTCCAAGGACTTTGTTTGACACCGAGTGAACTATTCCAATGGCTCCTCGTTGTGGCTACTCTGTCCGCATGGCATGCTCAATCAGAGTCTTGAGGTGCCCCACAAGGAGCACCAACCTTGTGAGGTGAGTGCACTCGCTGGGGTCTGTGCCGTCAAGCTTGGATTTTCCAGCGGAAAGTCTGACTAGCCAGCTTGTTGCGGCAGGTAAAGTGCTTGTTATTTTTTTTCTTCTGATTTTATGAAGCTATTTCAGATGTTGAAGAAGCGTAGTGTCAAGTTTCACAAGAATCTGGTGGAACTACAGTGACCTTCCCTCAAAGGACCAATGAACAGGAGAACCACCAGCTGTATTCGGTTTGTGGCTGTCATTCTAGTCAGAATGAATTGGTCAAGTCTAATGACTTGCGGAGTCGATTTCGACCTGACCAGGTCGACCTTCCGACCTGTCGCTTCTTCTGTGAAAAGAGAAAAGCCCTGCTCATATTGGATCCATGGATCCAGCTCTCCACGCCGCCACAAATGCCCTGGCTGTTATTCGTCCTGTCTTGCGCTCTTTTCTGGTAGGTCGTCTACAACAAGTTCTGCAGCTGGCTGTTTCGCAGATGACTTGGACACTTTGACCGGGCCAGCACAGCTTTGGTAGTAGCTGTAGTTACACTGTAGTTCTGGTTACTATTGAGCTGCATAGAAACTCTCAGAAAGGGAGCCGAGGGACAGACCGTGACACTCTCAATGCCGTCTCAGATGATGATTATGCTAAGCGCCTAAGCGCCTAAGCACATCTTCCTGCCCGCTCACTCTTGATGGAACGCGCAGTACGGGGTGGTCTTCCGCACGGAACTGGTAAGAACCTGCAGGCTGGGTCGTGCGGTCCGGTGGATGGGACTGGGATGAAGGATTTTAAGCATTTTTGTTGTCTCACAACGAAGTCACTCTTAAGCCTCAAGAGTCCCAAATCGCCACCTCACTTGAGGCAACGTCCACAGCCGCCGGCCACGTCACAGTGCCTGTGGTGTGCCGGATGCCAAGGAGTTCAGTTGGTTGGCATCGATCTCCTGATTTGGTTGCTCCAAGTCCGAGGTTGTATTTTGCAGCGCTCTCTTTTGTGCAGGGCATAGCCTTCATTTTACTCAGCCTTCACAAGGTCAAACTAAACATCAACAGCCTGCCACTTCCAAACAGATCACCTGCTGAGATTCTCAGCTGCAGCCTTTTTGGTTTTTGTTTTTTGGGCAACGGAAGATGTCTCAGACTTGATGTTTTCTGGTCTCGCTTCAGACCGAGAGTCGGCTGGCCGAGAGTCAACCAGAAGGAAAGCCATACCAATGGGGGAGAAGGGATTGGAATTTTTATTTGAGGAAGGGAACCTTTTTTCGAGGACTTTGACAAGTATATGAGGTGGTGATACCTCATCCGCGCTACACATAGTGGTGGATGTACCAGCAGTGGTCAAAATCTATTTGTGCGATCTGTCCAGGTTGTCATGTTACGCCAAGGTTCCTAGCTTTGATCGTCAGGTTTTTTCTTCATGTCTAGGACCTCCGAAGACCTCGTAGACCTCGTGGCTTTTCTTTCGGTGACATGGCACCGAGGCCACGTCTGCCAAGTCCCGGATTGGGCTGACCCAGGTCGGGACCGGCCTAGACGCTTTCAACACACGGAAAGGCAGCTGGTGAATCAAGTGCTGGGCCGCCAGTCGACAGGAGCAGTATGGTCCAACAGCCTCTCCATTCAAGACGGTACTTTCACCGTTTCTTTTACGGTCAGGATGCTTGTGGTCGAGCATGGCAAAAACCATGTCTTTCGGGTGTCTCTTCCGTTCCTTTGGTCGTAACCGGGGTGAAGGTTGGGTTTTGATTCGAGCACGGGGTCAGACAAAGAAGCCCATCACAGCTTTGAGTCATACGTTTCAGTAGCGTCCTTTGCTCCTAGTAGCGATCCCCTTGGTTATTAGTAGCGATGCCCTGCTATTAGTAGCTTCTTGAAACCTTTTACCACGCAGTTGTGAGTTTACTTGGGCACAGTCCGAGCTCCTGCCCTCGGCCATTCCGCCTCAAGCGGCCAAGAGCTTCGTGGCGCCGGCGAGCCGAGAAACCCCACCGGCTCGACACCGAACATGTTCATCCTCTTCCTCTGGTTCCTGCCGTCCGCGAGCCTTCCAGCTCCTCCGTCTTCCGCGCTGGAGGCCGACAATGGCGCCGACAGCGAGGGGTTCCCCCTGGCATTGCTACAGGTGCCTGAAAGCGGGAGCTTTTCTTTGGCTTTTCAACCGCTTTGGTGGAGACCAGAAGCTCCGAATCCTCCCACGTGAATCCTCCTTATCTACAAGGTATATGGCAACTGCACGTTTACATCTCTTCTGTCCTATACTGTTACAGTACCCGCTTTCAACAGCGGGCTCCCTATCCAACCCTTCGGTTCAGCTTCTCCAATCCAACACGAAAGCCGCCTGCTTTCCACACTTCAGGTCGACCTCCAGTTCCGGACACAGAGAGAGCGCTTGAACACCTCCGGCCGCGCGGACGCCTCGCGGACGCCTCGCGCTCCACTCTGCATGGCGGCACACCGGGTGCCGGAAGTCTATCTGCTGGGCGCGCCCAAGGCGGGGACCACCTCATTGGCGCTGCAGATGTTTCTGCATGGCGTTTGGCCGGCGGTGCAGTGGGGACACGTGGCGGAAGATGTGGGGCACTTGAAGGAGATTTGGGGGGGGGGGGGGGGGGGGTAATGGGGGGGAGGGGTCTGCGGCGTTCAGAACCCGTCGTCCGACGCCCAATCTAGGCTTCTGCGGGGGGCTTCCCCTAAGAGCTCCGGATCGCTTCATTTTACACCAGGAAGTTCCCAGCACGGAATTCGCTCCATTCGTTTCTTCACCTGCCAAATTTGCGTGCCGTGGACCCGCAGGAGTTCCACTTTTTCGATGATGGCGAGGCCGTGCGGCGCAATCGCACGCAGTGGCTGGAGCATCTTCCAAGCTGCGAAGCAGGGGCGTTTTCATCCCCTTCTCCCCGGAGCGCCCGGAGCAGTGCGAGTCGACGCACTGCTGTCCCACCGGTGGCGCTGGGCGACTTCACGCCGAGGAACCTGCGACTGGTGCCGTTGCCGGCGGGGATCCAAGGTGCGACGCCGCTGATGGCTGAGGCGAACCTGCCAGCGACACTGGAGCGGTTTTATGGCCAGCAGGCTCAGAGGTTGGTTTTCGTGGTGCTGCTTCGAGAGCCCTTGAGCCTTTTTCAATCCATGTACTACCTGGCCAAAGGAAGGAACTTCACTGGACAAGAGGATCTTGAAGCTTCTACATTTCAAGAGAGCTTACAAAAAAGCCTCAACCTGGCCAAGCACCAGATCTACTCTGACGATCTTTGGGCCGGTCTCTACTCTTGGCATCTCTCTGCATATCTTCAGCACTTCGATGCCTCGCAGTTCATCATCTCCCCCATGGAGGCCTACGTCCGGTCCTTTGCGCCGGACCTCTGTCGGTCCCTGTCGGAGCGCCTGGAGCGCGACCTCTGCGGTGAAGATGGCTGGCGCCAGGCGCCCCACATGCACCACACGGAGCATCCGCCCCTGGCCAAGGAGCTCGGCGCGGCCGCCACGCTGGTTGAAGCGATGATGGAGTTCCTGGAGCCCGAGCGGCAGAGGCTGCTGGAGGTACTTGGGAAGTACAGTCGAGGGAAGGCGCGGCTGATTGGATACCAAGGCAAGGTTGGATCTCAGACTGACATCGACGGGTGGCTCAAGGAGTTTGGAATCTACGGTGCAGACGAGGTTGAAAGTTTGATCTCGACGGATGAAATCACAGCTGTTTGCGTCTCAGACACGTACTCGATCAGGATGAAATCCTTTTGGTTGGACCACCGGTTAAGTTTCACCGTCGCCATGCTCACGGTGATGAACATGATCTTCTACGTCTCAAGGGACCTGGTCTCGAAACACCCATTCAGCAAGCACTATGCGCCAGAAACTTTAGAAGATGCCACTTTGCGTCTGGCCAAAGGAGTTTTGAGCCCCATCTTCTTTTTGGGCTATTTGGTGATTCTCCATCACATGAAGACTGGCTGCAGCTTGGCGGATGCCTATGTCTTCTATGGCGCCTCCTGGACAGCGGCCTTCGACTTGTGGGAATGGATCTATCGTTGGCCCCTGACGCCTTTGCCACTTGGCCGGTTGGTACCGAGGTCCCGACCGAAGCGTCCTGGGTGTCGATATGCGATGCGATGCCGAGGTCCAAGACACCCCAGTCACAGTTTCTTTTTGTTTTGAACTCGCGAAGCAAGGACGTAAAAAACGTGGGAATTGAGCCAGAATTGGTCAATCACCAGACCTGGGGTATCTTGATTCAATTTGATTCATCTTCATTCACATCTTCTCGTATCTTTTCCTCCGTCCCCTGAGCTGTACCCACCGTCCCCGCTGCCCCAAGTATCGTGACTGTCGGCCCTCACCGCCGCGAGTTTACCGCAGCAAGGGACTCCATGATCCATGGCTGGGGTCCACAGTGCTGAGTGTTACTTTTTTCTTTAAATAATCGTTCTTACTTTTTCCCGAATGCGTAGCGAAGGGTTCTCGCTTAACTCTGGGGGTCTGGGGGTAGAGCCTTGTTCGCGACGAGTTGTCTCTGCGTCCGCAACCGTCCGCAACCGTTCGCAACCGTCCGCAGTAGGGCGCTAAGGCCGCTGCCATTGGGGGAAGCTTTTGGAGATGGTTTCGGATGAAAAGGTGACGTGTCAGATTCGTGTGAAATAGCGTGGAAACGTCTGGAAATGTAAGATGTCGAAGTGTGGAGGTGGAGTTCACTGTGCAGGCGCAGCGTTTTGTGAGATCCGCAGTTTTCTGCGCAGTTCCATTGGGATTAGCGTTTGGAGAGTCGAGTTTTTGGGGTGTTGGATGTGGCTGTGCCATTGGGGCTTGCGTTTCAGGGTGTGGCATCGAAGCTCTGTTTTCGTAACAAGTCTCAGCTGAAACAGCGATTTTGGTGGATGGGAGTGTGCTCAGAACGGGTCGAAATCATGCCAAACGTGTGGTGTGGTGCAAATTTTGTTGAAGCTGGCATGACATGATATTGTCACTTTTCGTGGCAGGAGCAGTACTTTGTGCGGGTTTTGAGGTGTGGAAGTGCGATTTTCGTGGCAGGCGCAGGGAATCGTGAGGTCGCGAGGTGTGACGGAGGTGACATTTCGTGGCAGGCGCAGTATTTTGTGCGCGTTAGACGTGTGGACGCGGAAAGATTCGTGGCAGGCGCAGGGAATCGTGAGGTTGTGAATTGTGGTAGAGGTGAATGTCGCTGTGACAGTGGGATTGGCGTGTGAGCGGGTGTTGTTTGGAGGGGCTGGAATCGCGAAACTGCTTGGCAGGGCTGCGTGATGTGTGTGCTCCGATGGGTGCTTCCGCTTGACTTTTGGAGGAAGTCTCGTATGAAACGCTCGTTTTGCAGACTTTGACATGTGAGTTGTTGAGGAGGTCTAGTACGAAACGCTCGTTTTGGAGACTTGACGTGTGACTTTTTGAGGAGGTCTCGTATGAAACGCTCGTTTTGGAGACTTGATGTGTGACTTTTGGAGGATGTCTCGTACGAAACGCTTGTTTTGGAGACTTGACGCGTGACTTTTGGAGTAAGTCTCGTACGAAACGCTCGTCTTGCAGACTCGAAGCGTGACTTTTGGAGTAAGTCTCGTACGAAACGCTCGTTTTGGAGACTGTGCGCATGACTTTTGGAGGACGTCTTGTACGAAACGCTTGTAGTGTGTGGACAGACCGTGTGGCGAAATTACGTTCGTGATGTCGCAGTGCCATCGGGATTTGCGCGGCCTGGGTGGGAAGTGCGTTTGCGTGGCACCGTGCCACTGGGGAGTCCCACAAAAGAGTGTCCCACAAGAGTGTCCGACAAGAGTGTCCCACAAGAGTGTCCTACAAGAGTGAGTGTCTTACAAGAGTGTCCCACAAGAGTGTCCTGTAAGAGTGTCCCACAAGGTTTTTGGCCGACAGTGACACTCCGCTGTCGCATGAAAGACTCCCGGACAAGAAGGAGCAGAAGCTGCAAATTGGGGAGAGCGGGGGTGAAGGTCGAAGGGGCCACAAGAGCGGTCCGCAAGAGGCAAACAATGATTGGCCCTTTATTTTCGATCTTGTTTGCCTGCTCATGTGGCTGACGAACCTCGACGTTAGCGAGCTGGACCAGAAAAAACATGACCCATGCAAACACTTTTCGAACGTGTTTGCATTCGGGTTCGTGGGCTCCATCTTGTTACAATCTGCAGTGCTTTTTCAAGGACCTGAATCACTAGACTCTAGACCCCGAAGTCTACAAACATAGACTCCACAAGCTGAAGTCCGCTGGCCAGTTCGAGTTTCGAAGCCTTCATGTCTGACACCGCAGTGAGATGCCAAGCGAGCTGAGGTTGTTCCTCCATCATCTGGGAGGCTTGCTTCTCTGTTTGGCCATTGCAGATATTCGGGTTTTGCCTCTGGGCGGTGTCTGGACGGTGCCACAGCTGCTTTTCTTTTGCAACGTGAGTGTTGCATGGGCCACGGACCTCATCTTCAACGTCTTCTACTTTGCCACCAGCTTGGAGACCATTCGCCGCTACAGGACGAGCCGGGGACCGGGGGTTGGCCCCAAAAAAAACAAAACGATGTTTAGACTGAGGTTCTTTCAAGAAAAGGAGAGCTCTACTCACCTATTCTGGTCCAGGTCATGTGGGGGAAGGAAGCAGCGCCATCCGATATCGACCATCTTGCCAGGTCGTTGTATTTCATCTCGGTCCCCTTTCGCGTCACGAATATGATCTGTTTGTCCTGTGGCGCGGTGATGGCTCTGGAGGGAAAGCTGTGGATCCCCGGAGTGATCCTGGCCTTCATGGCTGTGGGCTCCTGGATATTGCAAGAACCGCGTTTTTCCAAAACTCCAATACAGCTTCTCATTTTTTGTTGCTTTCTTTCTTTTCTTTCTTTCTTTCTGTCTGTCTGTCTGTCTGTCTTTCTTTCTCTCACTTAATTGATTCATTTTATTTTTTGGGAAAGTCTAGGATGGCCACCCTGCCGTTCTTTGAACGTCTCATAAAAGAGTACAACCTTGTGTAAACCAAGTCTAATTCCTGGGTGATGTACTTTGTTCATTTTTTCACATGCCAGGTTACATCGCCCAGAACAGCAAGGCCATTTGGTGGGTCTACCGCTTCAGTCCCTGCCGATTCCACGCGGAGCATCAACAAAGGTGGCTCGCTCACGAGCGCGAGGATCCCCCCGAGGTGACCAAGGTGAAATCGGAGAGCATCGACAGATGAGACCATCTGGAAGCCAGGTTCGCTAGGTTGGAGGCCATCGCAACGACAGATTCGCTGTGGAGGCCATCGCTGAAAAGAAAAAAACAGAGGTTCTGAAGACAGCAAAGGCTGCAACGGCACCGAGCAGAGAGCGGGTGAACGGTTGATGCTCGGGGTGAGCGGTTTGACCCCTCAGACTCGTGTTCTTCGAAGAGGCGAACTGTGCTTGAATAATAGAGGTGTCTGAAGTGAGAAAAGGAGGACAAGCATGGAAGTGGACCAAGCCCTTGTTTGGTCTTCCAGCCGCTTTTACTTTCATGTTAGTTAGAGCTTTGTGTTTTGGTCAGTGAAGGGTGCAAGACGCTTGCTTTGGTTCCTGGTCTTTCCCACGCATCTGCAGTAACATTGCAGCCCACTTTCTTGGTCTTCCCATTCTGCTCAGAACTTTGTCCAAGCAGAACTGAGTTGAAATTGACCATCCCCGTTGGACATGATTTGGGCCACTGACTGAATCAAAGCCGATGTTGATTGTAAACCTTCTTCTCACTCTGAGGTGAGGATAATGTCCAATCTGATGAATGAGCTACCCAGAGGTTTTGCTTTTCGTCCGATGCTTCATAGAATCGACGAGCGGATCTTGGACGAAGCATGATGCGAACCCATCGGTCTTGGGTTCCATACGACGTACGACGGGCGACGCCGGTCCACCGGCCGCGGCGCGCCAGGGGCCGACGGAGTTCGGATCCTCAGCCGTCGGCGTTCGCCCCACCGGGAGGAACGGTCCCGCCGCCGCGGGTCCACAGTTGGCACTGAAGACATCGTGTGGAAACCGCCACACGTTTGTGTTGCCTTGAAATCGCTGCTGTAGACCTCTTCTGCTTGGCCAGCAAACATGTGAAAACCTTTGATCATTGATAGGTCCCAAGGTATGACGAAACGGAAATGGACCAACTTCCCATGGCCTTCCCATGGCCAACCCCATCGCAGACGACCGAAGAGGACATCGGAAGACCCGGGTGGGTTTTGGTCTTCGCTCCAGCCAATTCAGGATTTCAGTCGGAATGGACTTCAGAGACCGAACTCGTCTTCTTTGTGACGTTCGTAGCGAACCTTGTGACGTTCGTAGCAGGAATGCTCCGTTCGTAGTACGGCCAGGAGCCCCGGCCCTCGTAGCGTCCTTGCTCTCTTGCTCCGTTCGAGTCGCGATGCCCTTTGTTACTAGCTATTTGCTCAATCAGGAAAGTCGTGTTGGATCACTCGCTTGCTGTAGCTGATCCTCACTTGTTACTACCAGTAAGGCACTTGTTACTACTAGTCAGGCACTTGTTTCTAATAGCTTTTTGTTACTAGTAGTAAGGCACCTGTTACTACTAGCGTGGCACTTGTTACTACTAGCTTCCCCCAAGTTGTGCTAGTAGTAACAAGTGCCACGCTAGTAGTAACAGGTGCCTTACTACTAGCAACAATGTTTGCTATTAGAATTAAATTGAAATTAAAAATAACTATTAGCTTCTTGTTACTACCAGTAAGGCACTTGTTATTGCTACACTTGTGTGACGACAGATGCGTTCGGGGCCGTGTTTGCACCTCACGGGTGAAGAGGTGTCAGTCTCCCACCTGGTCCGGTCCTACGTTTGTCACCCATTTGGCGCTCAGGTGGGGATTTGTGGCGCACGAATCGGCCAAAACGAAACGTGTGGCGCACTCAGGACGTTGTGGGTGGCGGAACGCGGAACTTGTGTTGATTGATCGCAGCAGATGATTTGGTTGATTGGTCGCAGATTTTGGCTAGAATCTAGAAATTGTTGACGTGTCTCTCGATCAGGGAGTCTGACATGAAGAGTCTTCCACCTTGCATCGCAGCTCTGCTAGCGCTGCTTTTAAAAAGCAGTCATGCTCAGAGTTGCTTGCAGGGCGCCATCAGTCCTGATCTTAGGAAGAACGTCACTAATGCCAAAGGAGAGTCGTTCCCACTCGGGGCTGTGCTGCAACCCTACACATCATCAAAATTAGCCCATGCGGTCTACGAAACTGTGATCACAGAAGTCTTGGGATACAATTTGGATTTTGATCCTCATTCACCCCCATCCAGTGTGGATGCTTTGTATGCTGCTCTAGGTTGTCAATCTTGGTACAACCCAGAGGACCGTGGATGCGAACAACGTGCCATCCGGAGGCACTTTATGGTGGAGAGCTGGCACCAAGGATTTATGACCATCGTTCAGGACCTTGAGCAGATCTACGGAGGAGAGATGCCTCTTGCGGTGCCCATGGGCTTTGATGGCACATCAGGTTCATTTATCAGGAAGACAGCCATGGATGCAGCACAAAATGCCACGGGCTTTGCGCTGGAGTACTTCAAGAGCTATGCAGCCCTCGGTCAGAATGTGCTTCAATACTTTGACAACACTTCGGTGGTGAATTCTTCAGACCTTCTGCAATGCAGCCAAGGCTTCTGGAGCAACAATGCTACCATGTACAACTATTGGAGACAAACGGGTGACGATGATGGCGTGGTCATCGAGAACTACTCCTACAAGGCATTCTGTGCAGATGGGCATTTTTGGCAAGCTCCCAGTTGCAGGGCTGTTGGTGCGGAATGTGCTGTGTACATCACGGGTGGCAGCGGATGGGAACTGGAGCAAATGCTCCAGAGGAGTGCTGTTTTCTTGATGCCACTTGGTATTGGTATTGCAAGTAGTTGGGCCAACTTCTTGGACCTGCCAAGGCGGCACAGGACTCTGACCTATGCGTGGACTCCTGACGATTCCTTCTTGAGCTTGAACCTGCAGGAGATCATCTATCCACCGTACAACGCATATGCTTGGTCGCTTGGAGATGTAACCTCCCAAGCTCAAAAGATTCCACTCACAGTCATGGCCAGCTATGACTTGGAGTTCCTGGCGCCTGATGTCATGGAGTTCTTCAAGAAGGTTTCGTTTGATATCGGCACCATCTATGAGATGATGGCAGAGCAAACGGCCAGCGGAGCGTCTCCGCACGCGGTTGCTTGCCAATGGCTCAAGAGCAATGAGCTCAGGTGAGCAGAAAGATCACAGAACACCCCACTTTCGAACGGACGCATTGTTTTGAAACGTTTTTTTGCTTAACAGATTGCATGGTTTGACATGTTGGCAGCGGATTAATGACCATCGATAGACTTTCGAGTCACAAGGTGGCGTCCTTGGATTCCGGATCCTACTGCTTGCAACCGTGGCTTCGGGCTTTACGATGAAGCCATTGATGAGTTTGTTGGCAGTCGGGACAAAGCCAGCACCTGCAAAGCATGCGTCCCTGGCACCTATGCCAGCTTGCTTGTAGATGGTGATGGCCACACTTATGTTTGTCTTCCATGTCCAGCCGGGACAGAGCAACCCGCAGCAGGGGAATTGACTTGCCAGAGTTGCCCTGCAGGCAAGTTCAAAGCGCAAGAATCCAGAGAGGAATGCATTCCTTGTGAGCGAAGCTTTTACCAGGATCAGGTTGGCGCAAAGGCATGTAAGTTGTGCCCGGAGGGGACTACTACATTGTTGCAAGGGGCGAATCGATCCCCGGTTTTGCAGATGAGATTTTTCTTTTGATTTGTTGCTATCCTCAGCGTTTGGAGCTGACTGTATCCGCCTAAAGTAGATTTTTGGGGAAACGTGTTGACTTTGCCACATTCTGCTCTTTTCAGATCAGAGGACTCTCTCAATGTGTTTGCGCAGCTGGGTCGATTGATACATCCGACTCCCAAGATGCTCAGGCCTGCGAGCCATGCATGGAGGGCTTGTCATGTCCTGAAGGCAGCACACTTGCTTTGCTCAAGTCGGGCCAGAATGTCAGCGGTGTTGACACACTTCCAGCAACCTGGGCTGATGATCTTTAGTGCGCACACACACACACACTTTTTCATGACATGTTGGGACATTCTTTCAGTTGTGTGTGTGTATGTGTTTTTTTTTTGAATTTGGATCTTCGCAAGTTCAGGCAATCGAGTCGGGATACTTTAGTTGGGCTGACCAACCCATGGAAGTCTTCAAATGCCGCGGTGACCACTGTCCAGGAGGGGTTCCAGGCACTTGCGAAGGAGGTGCACTGGGTCCAACGTGTGATACCTGCCCTGCAGAACAGTAACCTGGCTGCCAGAATGGCTGCTTTTTGAATCAAACGCCCTTAGGAACTGTTTGGGAAGATTTGGTTCAAGTCTTTTGGAACTCGCATGAAAAACGCAGGTACTGGGCCAATGAGAAATGTTCAGAGTGCGAGGTGTCATTGAAATCTGTTTGGGTTGCGTTGCCTATTGCATTCATTCCAGCTTTGGTTCTGCTCTACTACAAGACAGAGACCCACTACAAAGCAAGCGCCTCGCTTGCTCAATGTGGGAGTTTGTCCATTGAATTGATGTTGAACTTTGTTCAAAATCTAGGTGTCCTGGGCATGGTATTTGTACCTTGGCCAGTGAGCCTAACCCAAGCATTCGAGTTCTCGCAAGTCTTTGTGCTGAACTTGAAGTCCTTTGGCTTCAATTGCACATCCGGTGGCGATTTTGAACAATACATCGCCACCGCAGCGCTTTGCTTTAGCGTTGCAGTGCTGTTGCCAGGCTTAGGGTGTCTAACCCACGCAGTTCCATGCTTGAAGACTCGCAACTTGAGCTGGCGCACCTATCGCGTCGCGTGCGCCACTGGACAGATTTACCAGGGCTTGTTTGTGACGATGTGCAGTGTGGGACTCTCACCCTTCATGTGCTACAATCATCCAAATGGCCAGCAGAGCCTTTTGAAGTACCCCAATCTTCTTTGCCACACTTCAAATCATGGAATTATGCAGTTGCTAGGCGTTGCAATCTTGGTCTTGTGCTTGACCCACTTTGTCCTTTGCTTTTGGGCAACCTCTAGCGCTCCCTCTTGGTCAATGACGTCTCCCGAGCGATTGCAATGTATTGGCTTTCTGATGACCAACTTCAGGCCATCTTGTTGGTGGTTTGGTTTGGTTGTCCTCATTCGAGGACCGCTCTTATCCTTGGGCCAGGTCGTGGAGCCAGATGATGAAGGGGTTCAGCTGCTAGTCATGATGTGTGTCTTACTTGCCTCGCTATGTCTTCAACTTTGGTTCTTACCCTGGAAATTGCCCCTTTTGAACTTGGTGGATGCCATTTCGACCGCTTTCTTCCTGGCTTTGCTGGCAGTTGCGATGCAAGTGTCCACGATCCGCAGTTCCATGTTTCTTGACGCTTTTGGATCAATGCTCTTCTACACGAGCCTGGCAATCATTGCAGCAGTTGGCTTCTTCTCTTTGGGGCTCGTGGCATTGCAACGCCTTTGTCGCAGAAGAAGCGGAGGCCTGCCATTGCGCGTGGTGATTTTGGGACAGCAGCCTCAGCCAGACGAAATGCTATCCAACTTACTGGAGATGGCCACCCAGTTGCAAAGCAACTCAACCATCTTGCAGCAGAAACTGGCCAGGAAAATGACCAACGTCTTGTCCGTTTACGACCTCTACACTGTGGAGAGGGCCTTGGAGAAGCTTGGCTGAGGAGTACTTCCGTGAGTTGTTGCCACGCTGACACCTAGCAGACCTAGCACCTAGCACCTGCCCTGTTGGTGTCGCTAGCCTTGTGATTGCAGGTAGATGTTGCAGTTGCTTTTGCTCAGTCGCTGTCCTTGTTGTGTTTGTTGTTCTGGTTGGCGTTGCCCTTGTCGTCCTCTTGTTGATTGTGGGTTTCTGTTTTTGTTCTCTTGTTGGCCTCTTGTGAACTGAATGAGATGCAGGTGTATATGAGCCGTAGCCCTGGGTTACATTGACCTTTCTGATCTGAGGATTTTGGCGGTGGATTGTGAACTCCTCCCTGATGGCATCGGTTCCAAAGCACGGCGCATCCGCGCCAAGCGAATCAGCCAGATGACGCGAAAGTCTTTGGCCACACACCAGCTCGAGCAGCAGAACGACCCAGAGGATCACTTGAATGCCGATTTGAGGAGCGATGGAACTTCTTCCTCTCTTTCAATTTGAAGAGATACCGTGTCCGTCAGTCTCCCGATGAATTCCGGTGAAGAACTTTCACCATGCTTGATCGCCTAAGGTGCTCAAGTTTTCGTTTTATTGTGACTGTCAAAAAGGTCGGATGGTGAAGTACTTTGTGAGGCTGACAGAAGTCGACCTTTGTCTGGGACACAGCTCGGTGTTTTGCAAAGGACTGGCACGTTGGTTGACAGATGTTGACAGCTTTTTTCTAGAATGTTTTGTGTTCCTTTTGGCTTTCCCTTTCATTTTCCCTCAGCCAGTTTTGGATCTCAGTGCCGGCCCTTCTCCCGATGTCAGGCACGTCCTCTGGCGGAGCGGATCTCGGGCGGAGTTCAAAGCGGGGAAGCTCTTCAGGTCGATGTCAGGCGCAGAATTCCGATTTCAGAGCCTTTTGGTCTTCAAAAGTGAATGAAGACGATGAAGACCTCGAGACCGGACGCTTCATTTGTGGCGACATTGGTTGTTTTTGTTAGACCGATCTGGTGTTCTGGCTGGTGAGGTTCGTCCGGGCCTTCCTGGCCTTTCACGGCCAGGCGAAGACATGATGTTGCAAAGGGAGTTGTTTCATGTTTGCTCCGTTGTCTCTTTTTTGCCACGAGGTGGTTTTCATATTCTTATGACCTCCGGATGACTTCGGCCGTGGCATTCCTGACACTTGCCGCCTCCCCATGGTGTGTCCCCCCATGGTGTGTCCCCCCGTTGGACGAAGATCGGTCCAGACCGAGGCTCCACAGAGGAAAGTGTTCTTCAGCTCCTTGTTGGCCCAACGCGACCGTCGCGAAACCCGCTTCGGATTCCGTTCGCCCATGCCGCTGGCACCTCCCCGTGGACAAAGCTTCACCAGCGAAGGAGCCGTGGCGAAGGAGTCGGACGCGTCGGTCGGACCTGGGGAGGTCCGAGTGTAAACTGAAGTACTTGGGGATTTGTTTTGGGGGGTTGGAAGGGCTTGATTTGCCGTTTCAATTGGAGATGCTATGTCGTTGCTGAAGCAGCAGCATGTATGGATGTTGCTGAAGCAGAGAATTAAACAAAAAAAGTCCAACCGCCATTGATTTCATCGGCTTTACCGAACAACCATTGTTTTACTACCCAAAGAATCGAGGACCATCAAAGGTGAAGGTTTTGAGGGTCCAAACCCCTGCTATGCAGGGTCCAAACCCTCCATAGGAGGGTCTTATGATTCTTAGGGTATAAGGATTTTGGACTACATCACGAGGTCAACCGAACTCTCTTTGAATGGTCCCGAGACCTGGCATGACCTGGCGTGCCTTCGTCCGAGCCGAGTTCACCGGTGTCAGAGTGTTCAGGAAGCTTATCATCACCAAGCTTCAAAGACGGCGTGTCCCCTTTCTTGGTGGTGACGGGTGCGGGCTATTCCCCCGTGAATGGCCGCTATGCTCACGATGGGCTTTGTGAAGGCAAGCCGAAGTTCAAGAAGATTGGTGGTGAGTTCATCATCTTCTTCAGATGGGGCATGTGGAAATTGGGGGCTGAAGATGACACCAACGTGTGGATCTATGAAAGCCCTACGGATCTCCGCCCGTCACCGATGCCACCGAGCGCATGGGTGACGGCCGGACAGTCGAAATACAGCCCAGCGCCAAGCCTCTCCTTGGGAACTTGTCGAGATCTCCAGGAAGGAGATGTTGTGACCATCATCAAGCTCCATGAAGAGGCGCCTGGCGCCTGACTTGAAAGCTCTGGGATGAGTTTGGAAGATGTTGCAAAAATAATTGAACTTCCGAACCAATTAGGTGGAGAGTCCTTGAGATGGTCGAAAAAAGTCATGTTGGTTTCAGCATGTCTCGGTTTTGTGTATTCTCGTGTATTCTCGTGTGAGGTCGACTGGTCAGGATGTCCAGAGAACACTGCGAGGAGGCTCGCTTTGACGAGTACACCTTGGACGGTGACCATCCACCGACTTCGAAGACTCCGAGGGAACTGGTTTTACCCCAGCGAGTTTCCTGAGAAGGTCGCGCCTCTAGCAGCGTTGGGCATGGTGAACTTGATGGGCAGGGCACATCGTATCTCTGAGATCAAAGAGAACTCAACACCATCCATCTCAGGAGACTCAGCTTTGACCATCGGAGGAAGGGTATAGAATGCTGGTCGTTTTTGGAATCCTGCTAGAGGTATCGGTTCTGAGAGGTGGAGACGGCTCTTTGAGAGGTCAAACATGTCTGGGCGACGACGTCAGAAGCTGCTCCCGACGTCAGAACATTCTGCTTGAAAGATTTTTGCAACTCTGGGGACATGATTTTCTCAATTCTGTAAGGTTGCACATCATGGGTTGGAGGCCATTGTGACTAGGTTGGAGGCCATTCCTGGTAGTTGGAAGCCATCGCTATTCGGTTGGAGGCCATCGCTCTTGGGTTGGAGGCTATTAGGGTGGAGGCCATCCGAGTGGCTCAATTTCTAGAACTGTCTCGTGGCTGGCTCCATATGGCTCTGTCATGGCAGCAGGAGACCAACCGGTTGACCTACCCACAGAAGGTCAAGCTCATTACATGGTGGTCCAACAGGTGAAGAGACCCATTCCCACTTGGAGCCCATCTCAAACCTGTCGCATTGGGGTTGTCCCATCCAAACCTGCCGTTTTGCCCCAGCTTTTCAAGGAAAGTGTGCTTCTCCACCCTTCTTGGTCGTCGCCGGTGCCGGCCACGCCACACTCAACGGCCGGTATGCTTTGGCCGGGAACTTTGCAGGCAAGCCCAAGTACAAGCAGGCAGGAGTGGAGAGGTTTGACGAAAGACTCGTTTGACACCACAGAATTTGGCCCATGCACCAGGGTCTTGATCTCGTGGCAAGATCATTTGTCTTCGTCTTGGCTCTTGCTCGCTTCGTTTTTTCCGGGGCATTTGTCGGTGGGTGGCTACCTCCATCCATCCTTTCACTCTTGGGTTCGTCCCCCAGCCCAAATTCCCGCGTAGCCTGAGATGGAGGTCGGTGGCAATTCCATCATCTTCTTCATGTCCGGCAAGTGGAGATTGAACGACGAGGAGGTCACCGACGAGCGTTGCTACGATGCGGTCGAAGTGGATGAGGAGGCGCGCATCCCACCAAGTCGATGGGTGAAGGTGAATGCGAGATATGGTGCAGCGCCCAGCCTTTCGTTGGGAACTGGCCGCGATCTTCAAGTCGGTGACTCGGTGGTGCTGGAAAAGCATTCCAGGTCGATTGATTGGTCTGGCTGCCCGGAGGACGATTCTTCGAGGAGGTTCTCCTTCTCAGCACCCAAGACCGTTACGGTGCATCGCCTCCAGGGTGAATGGTTCTACCCAGCGGAGTTTCGAACGCTGGTGGCGCCGGTGGCGGCCTTGGGCTCGGTGAATTTCTTTGGTCAGGCACATCGCATTGAGGCGGAGGAGGAGATGATGACCTCGGCCTCTTCAGGAGAGAGATGCGGTCGGGCCGCGATGGGTCAGGGCCGCGATGGGCCAAGGGCCGCGGAGTGGTTGTCTCCTGCTGGTCCACGAAATTCTTGGGCTCGAAAGGACCACATTGACCCCTACCCCCCTTTCCAAGGCAAAGACATGGAACAAAAAGGGACATGTGACATGGCGAACATGACGTCCAAACCAATCCTCGAGGAGAGAATGCGCCTCCGCTGGCTGCGTTCCTGGTGCTGCGAGGTGCTGGAGTTGGGGCCATGAATGGTCGATATGTTCAAGATGGGCTGGAAGAAGAGAAGCCCAAATACAAGCAGGCAGGGGATGTTCAGGGGGATGTTCTTCTGCTAAAGAAAAACACTAGAAGTCACTAGACACAATAAAACACTTCTTTTTTGGTGCATCGGACATGAGATTCTGCGGTTTGAGTCTTAGTTTTGCTTGAAAGTCCCACGTGGCGGAGGTTGGCGGTAACTCTATCATCTACTTTTCCTCGGGCGTGTGGAGATTGAATGATGAGGAGAACATGCAGCAGAGAAAGTACGATGGTGCGCAGAATGATACCCCAACACCACCAAATGAGTGGGTGCAAGTTGACTCCAACTACGGTGCAGCACCAAAGCTTTCCATCGGAACTTGGCGAGATCTTCAAGAGGGTGACACTGTGACCATATCGAAGCGCCATGAGGATTTCGATTGGTCTGGATGCCCTGTGAACAGCGCAGGAAGGTTGCGATTTTCGCCCTCCTCCTGGACCATCACAGTCCAACGAGTGCAGGGCGACTGGTTTTATCCAGCAGAGTTTGAGACTCTCATCGCACCCTTGGCAGCCTTGGGCACTGTGAACTTGATGGGCATGGCGTGCCGCATCTCGCCTGTGTCGGCAGCAAGTAGGAAACCCCGAGATCAGAACGTAGCTGATTCGAAGAAGGGAAAGATCGTGGGTGGATATGATGAGGAATGGTGTGCTGAGCAAGACGTGCAACGATTCAAGTGTGCCATTTGCTTGCTGGTCGCCCGTGCTGCCATGGCGCATGAGTGTGGCTCCGACCTTTTTTGTGAGGGCTGCTGGGAGAAGTGCATGTCCAAGGACAACAAATGCCCAGTGTGTCGCAATGATGGCTCGACGATTGTCCCCGCACACTTCGAACGGCGCTCCATTGGCAACCTCAAGGTGATGTGTCCCAACAAGTGTGGACAGAGTTTCCCTTTGTACGAGAAGGCAGGGTGGCTTTGGAAGGTTCATTTGCACAAAACCTCTTTCATTCACATAACTCTTTCCATTTTCATTCCAGGGTCCTAGCTGTACTAGCCTTTGTGGGAAGGATCCACAGAAGAGCGAGACGAAAGAGTTGGGATTTACATCCAGCTCTGCTTGGGGTCACGCAACCTCAGACAGACAGGACGTCTTTCCCCCAAGTCCCATCCGAAATTGACTGCAGTGGGTTCTATCATAGATATTATATAATATATAATATATATATATATATTTGATCAGATGTAGCACCAGTTACATGTACATGACATAGCTTGTATAGATGTATGTTTCACTGCAGCCGTTTGTGGTTTACTTTTGTGTTCATTTCACCGCCAGAGCTCAGTCAAGCGTGAGCTAAAAGTGTGCCTAAGCTTCAACTACAACCTTTGGGACTGTGACCCTAAGTCACTGAGTTTAAGAGCCTAAATTCTCCGTTCATGGTAGCGGAGCTGCGGTTCTAAGACCCGGCTACCGTCTGCGAATCGAAGGTCGCCGAGCCGCATCGGCTCTGGCACCGGAGATCCACAAAACAAGCATCACTTGCAGGAAAGCCGGATTGCTTCAATCCCTGGCTAGCAAGTCAGCATGGCGCAACAGCCAGGAACACAGGCACCACAAGCCACAGACATGGCACAACAATTTGCACAGATGATGCAAGCCCTAGCACAGGGGCAGAGCCAATTGCAACGAGCAATGGCAGAAGCATACACACAACAAA